AAACTTTGGTGTGCCACCCTCCCCTCCCCTAACCTCATCCCTCATAGAAGTAGGATTTATCACTTTCTCCTCTCACCTCCTATTGAACTTTAATTTTTAAGACTACTGTGGTTCCTTTCATGATCTATCTTTTATTATTACCATTTCTTGTCACCTAATTTCCCCAAGTTGTCATCAACTCCACCAGACTTAGCTCTGTTCTGGAACAGGGACCACTTCTGACTTGTCTTTATAATTTTAGAGCCCAGCTTGGTGTATGGCATGTAGTAAGTGCTCAATAAATGTTTTCTGAATGACTGGAGCCAAGGTGACCACCTGCTTCCTCTCCTAGTCCTAGGGACCCTGTCACAAAGAGAGATGGTCAGTCCCACTAACTGCGGCTAGAGGTGACAAAGGTAAGCCCAGAATACCTCTCGGCGCCTGGGCTTTCAGACTCTATGGCTCTCCAGGGTAGGCCAAGCCCAGTACCTGAGGGGCTGGGTCACCATCACCCAGCCTGAAAAACCCAGACAGGAGCTAGGTCAGAGGTTGTGGCAGGCTGGCAGCCCAGGAACAAGGGTGCCGTGAGTGCCCTGCAGTCCAGCATGCCAGGCCTGCACTGCCTATGGACAGCAGCAGAAGACCTCAGCTGCCTGCCTCTGCTCCTGCATGCTCTTCCCCCAACTCTCTAAAATAGCCCAGGTTTACCTTATCCCCTCCCCCATCTTACACCCCACCCTAAACGGTGACAAACAGAAACACCTCACCATCCAGAGACAAGATGTTCAGAGGCAAATGTTGGTCTGTTCAGAACAAGAGAAGAAAACACAAAACAGATCCAGGAGGAGACTGGGAGGCTCCTTCAGGGAAAGGCCAGAGGCGGCCTGCAGCCCTTGGCCTGATGCCACTTCTCCTGGGAAGGAGGCAGATGGGCTGTCCTCAGGCATGCTGGCACTGCCCCGCTAGAGGGCTGGGAAAGTCAGGGCACACAGACTTCTGGCTCTTCCGAGCCCAGAGGCACCGGACCAGAGAGTCCTACCCTTACTCCAGTGCCTGCCAGGCCCACCAATTGGCTGGTCCCAGGCAACACCAGGGCCGGAAAAGCCTGGGGCCTGCGGGGCCTTCAGAAGAGGTGAGCAGGAACAGAGCTCTGCATTTTCTTCCTAGAAGGCCTTAGGTCAGCAGACACCTAGTCTCCTCTCCTAACCAAAACTCCTTTCTTTTTGTCCTTTGAAAGTCCCACAGTGAGAAAAACGAAGAGCAAGCTCAGATAGGAGCAATTCTAGAAATGGAGGCGATGGGAGCTTTAGTTTGGAGGAAGAAGTGAATGAAGGGATGGGAGGAGAGCAGAAGGGCCCCGTCTGAGCCACCCTGAAGTCAGAAGTCTTTTCCAGGCAGAGTGCAGCTGTGACACAAGTCCAGACTGGAAGTCACAGGGTCTGGCTTTGGATCCCCCAGCTGTGTGACCACGAGCAAGCCCCTCAGGGCTTCATTTTCCCCCTCTGTAAACTGAGGCTAATAGTCTCTGCCTCACGTGGGCCAGATGAGATACTGGAGAAAAGCACAGGGGACAGCCCCTGACACCCCAGAGAGGCTCAGTGTGAAAACCCCACCCTGGGGCAGTGGGAGCCTGTGGGTCATGCTGTCCTCAGAAGGGAAACAGCATGGAAAACTCAGTCCGGGTACTGATTTAGCCAGAGGAGAAGGATTAAATCTTGAATTGGGCTGATAACTAAGCTTAAGCCAGCCCAGTCTCTGGGGCCTCTGGGGATGGAGTGGAGTGTCCCAGGGTCCCATTCATCAGGCCTCCTGTCAGCCCTCAAGAAAGGAGAAAAGCCTTTGATTCTAGAGCTCTGGTTGCTGCCAAACCCCCACTGGGTCCCCTCGTTTTAGGAAGCCACTCCAGCTGTTGCTGGCCCTCACTCTGTCTGGGACTGTGGGCAGGGGCAGGTGGGAACAGGAACAGCCTGCCTTTGGTGCCTGCTCCCAGGTCAGGCCACAGAAATGGAACTACAGCAGCAGTAGCCATGGGCCTGGCTACAGGAAGGGAGCAAGAGTGAGCACCCTGGCCTGGAGTCAGCCTGAAAGGGAATGGCTCCTAGGGCCTGGCCAGTAGCTAGGCAACAGGCTCCCATAATCAGTCCAGTTCACTTTCCCTTTGTATCTGTTTTATTTCTGCCATAACACACTACTCAAGGAGCCGCCTGGGGCAGAGGGCTCTGCCCTGTAGCCCTCAGTGAGGCCCCAAGCCCATACAAGGATGGCAGACCCCTTCTAGGGAGGCAGCGGGAAGAGGCCTAAGGGAGGGAAGGTATGCACACAGACCCAGGGGACAACACACTTCAGGGTGGGGTGGGGTATTATTGGCCTGGGGTAAACAGAAGGGGTTGGGCTCAGCTCAGGACCCCTGAGCCTCAGGCCCCAGGCCTGGAGGGGTAACAGAGTAAGTGTCCCTTCTGATGTCCCCACCTGCCCCTGAACTTTTTGATGTCATCCACAGGAGGTACAGAATCTGAGAACACCTCCATGCCAGAATTAAGACCCGAGCCACCTCTCCAACAAAACAGGCTCCTTCAGTGGAAAAGAACCTGTTGAAATCAGAGGAGCAGGGGCTTGGGAGACAGGAAGCCCTGGCTATGATTCACAGCCGCCACTATCTGGCTGTGTGATCTCAGGCAAGTTGTTTACCTTCTCACAGCTTCAGTCTATTAAATGGGGATAATACCTCTGCTGTAAATTTACTGGGAGGATTAGAGATTAATGCAAAGTAAACTGCCTTGCATAGAGTACTCAATAAATAGCAGCTATTAATTTTTTTAAGTGATATATTCTCACTTGTATGTCCCATGAACAGCTAAAGGCTTGCCTTTGCTGTGCTCCTTAGCAGGAGGCAAGTTCTCTTTTAGGCTCCATACAGCTGTGCACATCAGTATTTACAACCCTCTAGAGGGTTGGAAACTAGGGGTGGTTTGCTGGCTCTGCTATTAGTTACGTGTCTTTGACCCTAGCTAATAGCAGATATCAGATGAACCGTGCCCACCCCAAACTTCAGACCTCAACTGGTATGCCCTGGCTGATGGGATTCCACATCAGAAAATCAACATATCTTGGGGTCCTGGGGGACTTCAGGAGGCCACAAGGCTCTGAGTTTACAGAGCCCTCTGGCTGGGCCACTCTGCACTGAGTTGAAGAGAAAATACGTTCATTGATGGCACAGCCCTTTGGAATCTAGGAGGGAAGAACCTGAGAAAGTGAAAAGTTGCCAGTGGCCCTAGAATGCTCAGAAACAGGGCCTAGCTCCCCTAACCCACCTCATCTCCTTCCTGCCTGCCTATCTTGTCCCCTTTCCCCAGCTCTATCAAGCCAAATTTACCTCTCCCTCCTGCCACCCCCAACTTGGAAGGAACCTGAATTATCTGTACTTGTCTCTCTCCTCAAAGTACACTCAGCCAAGAGCTGACACTAATATGGTTAATGACCTGCAAGATCCCTCAGCTGACCCTAGCTTCCCTTTCAGTCCTAATGCCTGCAGCCCCAGCCTGGTATGCCACAGCCATTGAGACTTCTGCCCCTCCCTTCTTTTCCAGGCAGATACATCTGCCCTGGTCTAGCATTTATGCCAGCCTGGGCCCTCCCTGCAGCCCCATTTCCCTATCTCCTTCCCTCCCTTGGGTGGGGAAGTGGAACTTTTCCTTCCATGACTGGGTTGAGGCCCCACACAGGAGGTGCTGGGGAGGCCAGAAGGACCCTGAGACTCATTAACATGACAACCTGTGATGCCAGAGGTGAACCAGATTCTGGGGCAGGAGGCAGTCCCCAGACCAATATATTATGTTGCTCTTTCCTGTCTCCCAGACAGATCCCAGCCAGGCTTCAGGCTGCCAGCCATGAGATCAGACACCAGCCCTGAGGGTTCTCTTTTTTTAAAGAATTTAAAGCCATCTTTCAAGATTTTGTTTTATTTTGTTGTTATTTATTTATTTGTTTGTTTGTTCATTTTTTGCTGCTCAAGCACATGCCACACACCCCCACCCTTCTACCAAAGGGGGTTGAAAGGAAACTGTATTAACTCAGGGAGGCAGTGGTTGGAAGGGACTAGATTTTGCTTAAATCAACCTATGCCATCCCCCTTCTCCCTCCCAATACACCCATTTCAAGTAACCTGAACCAGGGCTTTCTGGGAAGCCAATCTGTGCTGCAGCAGAAGAAAAGAAGTGGCAACAAATATGGGCTCATCACCAGGCGGCCTGTGGCAGCCACTGGTGGTGAGAACCTGCAGGGCCCGGAACATCAGGCCCTTCCGCCTAACTCTTCCCTCCTCCCAGCTGAGGCCAGGAAACGCCAGGTGTCCAAAAAGCCTGAAGGACATGGCATGGGGCAGGCATCTTGACTACTCTTCCTGAGAAAAGATCACTCCCAAACCTGGATGAGAGGCCTGGGTTCTGGTCCCAGCTCTGCCTGTAAATGAGCATAAGGGGCTGAAGCCAGTGTCCCCCTTTCTGACACCCACAGTTCCTAGCACACTGAGATGCTGGGAGGATTTGAGTGAGGTGACATGCATGGAAGTAGCTAACACAATAGCCTGTCATAGAGTAGGCACTTTAACACACTCAAGGTTTCTTCCCCTAAGCCCTACCTGACCCAGGCAGAAGGCCTAATTCCAGCCTTCCAGGACTCTGGCCCTGTGAAAGATAGGGGGTAGATGAAGAGAGGTGGTCTGTGCAAAAAGGGGATGGAAGAGCTCAGCTACAGGCACCCCACTAGTTGGGAGGGGATGTGGCAAAGCAGGCCCCAGGGATTAGGTCCATGTAGTGAGTCTAGTATGTGCAATCTCCTGATGAGGCTTCCAGGGGAAGGAAGGGGGTACGAGGTGATTCCCCTGGGGGCCCATGGAACGCACGGGAAATTGGGAGGGATTCTGTGGTAAGTCAAGTCAGTCTCCTGCGCCCCCTGCCCCTACCCATCACCGCCAAGCACCCTCACGCCATCCCCAGAAGAGACTCAAGACTCCTGCCACTCACCCTGGCTGCCCGGGAGGAGTAGGGATCCTCGAAGAGCGCCCACATGCGGGGTTGCCAGCCGCGGCAGCCCCCCGACCCGGCGCCGGGGCCCACGCCTCCCTCGTGAGGTCCCAGGCGCTGCAGGGCCAGCTCCCTCTCATCGTCGCCGCCCTCGTCGCCATGCCCCGCGCCACTGCCGCCTCCGTCTGGGCTCTCGAAGATATCGAGCGCCTCCTCGGCGTCGCGGTGCTGCCGGTAGGTCATCCAGCAGCAGGGCTCCACGTCGGTCTCGTCGATGCCCCAGAAGGTGAGCTCCTCCTCGAAGAGCGGCCCGCACACGTCGGCGGGGCAGTGTAGCTTGCCGGTGCGGTAGTAGTTGAGCACGTACGCAAAGACGCCCGGGTGCCTGTCGAAGAAGAACTCGCAGCTTCCGCCGCTGCCGCTGCCCACACCGCCGCCATCGGACTCGGACCGGCCCCCGCCATTGGGATCAGCCAGCCAGGCGAGGCGGGTGCCGGGTAAGGTGCGGAGGGTGCTGCGGTAGGTCTCATGTCGCGTGCCGCCCACGTTGATGATGATCTTCTCCGACGCCTCGCCCTTGGCCATCTCCTCCTTCAGACATGTTTTGGACGGAGGCTTGTTCCCCGACTTGCGCCCGCGGTAGGAGGAGACACACACCGAGCTGATCATAAGAAGCGCTGCGGGGCTTCGGCTTGGGGCGGCCGCTGCCCTCCAAACACCCTTCCCGAGGAGGCAGCGTCAGACGGGGGAGGGGGAGGAGACGAGGAGGTGGCGGCCCCCTCTGCGACGTGGCCCTGCCTCTGCCTTCCCCCCGGGGCGCTGAGCGGGAGGAGTTGGGCTTCTCGGGTGCACAGGTGGTTGGGATTTGGGCAGGCAGCGCCGGGGAGTGAGGCAGGAGGGGGAAAGGGGAGCCAAGGACCCAAGTGAGGGGCCCGGGCAGGCCCGGGCAGGCACGCACACGCTCTCCCGCTGGGACTGGACACTCAGACGCTCGCGGCCCGGGACACTCCCCTCTTCCCCCGAAAAGACGAGGAAGCGAACAGTCCGGGCGCACTGCGAGGGTCCCGGGCGCGCGCGCTCTCACACTCACACGGGCCACCCTCGGGATCCCAGCCCGCGCCGATCCCCGGGAGCAGCGGGCTTCCCCGCAGCGGCGGCAGCGCAGCAGCAACAAGTTCTCGGAGCGACTGCCGGGGCCGAGCCGACACTCTCACGGCAGCCAGAGCTCTAGGGGCCCGGGCTGCGTGCGGTCAACAGAAGGAGGCGGCGGTGGCATGTGGCCTCTTCCCCCCATTCATAAATCCAGCGCCGGGCACTGACGGCGGGCGGGGCTGAGCAGAGCTCGGCGTTCGGGCGGGCGGGGGCTGCGCAGGGCGAGGCGGCAGCAGGAAAACAAGCGTGCCCGCAGGAGCGAGCCTCGGCTCCTGCGTCCGCGGCTCGGCGGCTGGCAGCGGCCCTGGGCAGGGCTGGGCGCTGCGCTGCGGGCGCCGTGCTGGGGCAGGAGGGCCTCGGACGGGTCGTCCTGCACGGTGCCAAGCCTCTCTGGGGAGCGGGTCTCTGGGCACAGGCGAAGGAGGCTCCCCCGCGGCGGCCGAGCGTCCAAGGACACCTGCAGGCTTCCCCGGCTGCGCTGGGTGGGAGCTTCAGCGCAGCGCCCCGGCGCCGGGCTCCTGAGATCTGGCGGCGTTGGGAGCCACGCCATCCACGCGTCTGCCCATCTCCGGGCTGGGCGCCGGCCTTGGCTCGCGGCAGGGGGCGGGCGAAAGGTGGCCTAAAAGAGCTGGCGTCTCGGCGCGAGTGGACAGGGAGATCAGGGGGCTCTCCGTCCCCCTCCGGCGACAGCGCGCGCCCCTGTCCAGCGGCGCCTTTTCCTTTCGGTCCCGCCTCGCCCGGGCGCGCCCTCCCTGGGGCGGGGCGCGGCGCGGACAGACCGGGCTCGCTGCAGGGCCACCGCCGCCGAGCTCAGCCTTCCTCTGCTAAGCAGAACCGAACGGAGGTGCGTAACCCCCTCGCCGCCAGAGCCCAGGCCAGCGCGCCGCCCCTGCGCGCCTCCGCCATCGCCCCCTCCCGGCCCACTCGGACCGGCTCCCCGCCGCCCTCGAGCTCGCAGCTCCTCCCACTGCAGCCCGGGTGACAGCCAAGCGCTCTGGACCCCTGACTTCTAACCTTCGCCCATTCCGGCTGCTCCTCTCATCCCCTCTCAGCCAAGCTGATCGCATTGTTGCGGTTGCGTTGCAGTTGACTGGAGGCCCGGGAAGAAAGAGAATGGAGAGAGCCTCGAGGAGGCTGCCCCCTTCTACCCCACACACTGTGCTGGGGACTCCAAACCACCCACTTCCCATCCTGCGCCTTGGAGGTGCAACCAGGCCCAAGTTGCCTGTGGTCTTGATGCGTCTTCTCTATCACAGTCTCCGAAGCCCCCGGGGGTGGAATGGTGGACCCAGTGGCCTTGGGCAGAGAATTGGCTCTAGGAAGAAGAGCCGGTGAAAGGAATGGAAAGAGCCAATGGTGGAAGGAAAGGGAGTACTGGCCCTGTTACTGGGGTGGAGTGGGTGATGCTGAAAAATCATTTGGTTAAAGCCAAGGCCCACCGTTGCCCTGGGGGCACATGGGAAGGGCCCCTGTCCTGCCTGTGGCCTGCTTCTGGTTCTGTCGTTTCACTCATTGTAATTTGACTTTGCCTTTTTATATTTCATCTCCCCTCTCTGACCCTGAACTCCTCCAGACTGCACTGCTATTTCATCTTGATAGCTCCTACAGTGCCTGCCTCTGAAAACCTGTTTGCTAAGTGATTGAGAAGCTGCCATACCCAAAACATTTAAGCACCAGCCCGATTTTACTGGCCTTATCCCAAAAGCAATTTCCAGATTCATTTGTTTTCGTTTGTGTTTTAAGTCCAGAACCTTTTACATCTTTAAATTAATCCTCATTTTCTTTTTTTCTTTATAGCATCAGGCAGCCTCCATGTCCATCTGGATGATGTAAGGAGGATTTTCAAGCAGAAATGCAAGATGATTGACACACCTGCCCTGGATACCTGTGCACCACCCAATTTCCAGATCGTCAGTACCTGGCTATACTGGGAAAAACAAGACGAGAGCCTGGGTGTGCTCTGAAGAAAAGTTAAAAGCCCACTGCAAGTACAAGGGATTCTTATAAGTAAAAGTCTCATTAATGAGGTAGGAAAACCAAAATGACAACGATCTTTGCTGATCTTTACTAACATGCAGAGGGAGGTAGGTTCCGTCCCAGGCTGTAGTCAGAAACATACATTTGCTGGCACCCCTTTTGTGTCCAGTCCCTCCACTCTTCAGACCTGATGTCTGCATTTCAGAGTTTAGCTGGCTTTGAATTTGCTACAGTGAAAAGGAAATATTGCAAATGTGACTGGGAAGAGAAGATCCAGGACTGGCCAGAAGCTGGAGTGAGGAAGAAAAAACCTCAAGGAAGATATTAAAGAATTTACTGTAATGAATAGCTCAAGGTCCTATCCAGTTGTGTTCTGGCAAACTCCCTTGGGGTCTCTCCCCCATTTTCCATTCTAAGGGTTCCAGGCTTAGGAGAAGGCCCCAAATAGCCTGGCTGAACTCAGTCATTCTGGGAAGGAGGAGAAATTGATGGGAGTGGGGTGGGAAAGGCACAAAAAAACTATCCCAACATCCCATACCTGAGTCATTTATTCATTCAATAAATATTTCTTGCGTGCCTACTATGTGCCAGAAGCTGTTCCAGGAACTAGAAATAGATGAATAATTGGTGCTTCTGTTCTGCAGTGTTTGTAGATGATGATAAGGATGTGAAGAGAAGGGTGGAGGGAGAAAGGGGGCCTGGGGTGGGGGTAGGGGAACCTAGGAAGAGCTGAGAAAAGCAGAGGGCTCAGCCTGGAAGAGGCAGCTGGGCAAAGGTGCACTGGGTGGGAGGAGTGGGGGAGCCCCTGACTCGGTACACTGACCAGCTCCTGCAGGAGAGCCCAGGCTCAGGCCAGAGGCCTCCAGGGGAGGCCTTGTCACTTGCTTAGGTTTTATCCTAGAGCTCTGGACTAACCTGTTATCTGGTCCTCTGGAATTTTCTGGGGGATCCAGTGTACTGCATTTGGCATCATAGGGCCTGTTCCGTCAGTTCTGTGTGTGTTAGGGCATGCTGTTCCCCCAAGCACTGAACTCAGGAAAGAGGCAGACCCCCTGCCAGGAGACCTTGCGCCAAACCTCACCTTAGCTCTGGGCTGTGGTGATGAGGAGAAAAAGGGCTGATAAGCCTGGGCTGACAACTGGTTCTGGGCTTCCAGTCCATTCCAGGACCTCAGGTTTCTTTCCCAGCCTCAGTACCCAGCGGAACTGTCTGCTCTCTCCCTTTTCCCATTCCTCCAAGATCTTGGTAACACAGGCTTAGGGAAGACTGTGAAGCAGCTGCCATTGGAAATTCGTAATTCCACAAACCTCTTTCCCTCCATTACTGCCTTTCTCTGCCTTCCTCCCCTGAGTGCCAAGGTTCCTTCTGGCTATCAGGAAAGAATGTCTGTCTGGGTGCTAGTTCACACTAACGGGTGAGCATAGTGTGTTTCCCTCACCAGAAGTGAATGTGTAGCAAAAGCATAGATGAGGGCAATGTTTGATGCCAGAGTGACACTAATAGGGGGCTGGCAAACACTTGTGGCTTTCTAGCACCCTTCTCTCTGAGAGCTGAGGCTGATCAAGCTGGCAGGAAGGAAGCTTGAGAGCCTGACATCAAAGCCATCTGCCCTCCCTCTCCCCACTGGGGGAGTGGTGTGGGGCTCGGCCACTCTGGGGAGACAGGAGTCATCCAGTCTCCTCTCCATCTTCCTTCTTTGGACTCTACTTGTTTTGAAGGGTTCCAGGCTTAGGCGAAGGCCCCGTGGCTGCCAAGGCAAGGCCTTACCCACTGATACTCACACCTCCCCTTTAAGCATTGCAACTCCTGCCAGGGACCAACCCCTCCTCCCTGAGGTCCAGGTCAAGGAGCCAGCATCCTTTCCCAGCCTGCCCTGTTCCCAACCCAGTTAATTTAATTGCTTTATCAGCTGCCATCACTGGGAGAAGGGTGATAGGGAATTTCCTTTCATGGAGGAAAAAGAGAAGGGAGGGCCAGAGGAGGCTGGAAACCTTCCATTTGCTTACCAGTTCGTTTAACCCTGTCTTCCACGCCCACCCCCATGCAGCCTGCAGAGGCTCTCAGGCTCCAAATCAAATGCTGAGAGCCTTCTGGAAAGGGATCTGGGGCATAGAGGACAGCACATGGGCCTTGTGGAGGTCGGCTAGAACGCCTCTGCATAAAGGCTGAGGCAGTGTTGGGTTGCTGTGAAAATCCTCCTCAAGGTATATTTGGGGCTCTGGGGAACTCCAAAGGTGGCCTGTGATGGCCCAGCTCTTAACTGGAAAGGATCAGAAGGGTGCAGTCCACTAGCTCTGGCCTGGCCAGGGCTCAGAGCCTCATAAACTATGGATTTGGAGTCATAAGGCAGGAAGGGACCTGAATGGCAGCTCACAGTGCCTTCTACTTGAGAGATTTCAGGCCTAGGGAGCAGCAGTGAGCTCTGGGAGACTGAGCTGGGCCTGCGGTTGGGCCAAGGGCAGAGAATGATATGGGGGCCCACGTGGCCTCTGCATGTAGAACAGTATTCATGGGAGTCACAAGACAAGTCCAGCTAAGTGGACCCCCCAGAGCCCCCCTTGCTCAAGGCTGCTGGGGTAGAGACCCAGCCTGGGACCAGAGAGTGTGTAGACACACACCTGCACACACATTAGCTTAGGGCCCAGCTGGCAAGACTCCTTGGAACTCAGCATTTCTCAATCTAGAAAAGTAGATTCCTCCCACCTGGGTTAAACTCCAGCAAAACTGGTTCATTCTATTAGAGCAGTTAATGAGTCCTGATGGGCCCAGTCCCCTCTAGCAGTGTCCTGGAGAAATGGGAAGTAGTTGTCTAGACAGACCTAACTCTGACTTCTCTTGGATGCTCATGAAGCCCAAGGATCCTTCCCTCCTTGGCTAAGCCTGGGAAGAACAGAGACCCAGAAGCCAGCCAGCTGTGGCCCAGGGGGCCGCAGAGTGGATCTCCATTGAGTCTTTCTACTCCACACCTGGCACTGTGGCTAGAGTGGAGTAATCTTAATAATGGTTTGTTTGTTGTTAAGTGAGGAACGATCTTCCCCCACTTCCTGGGATTCTTTCCGCCTAAGACAATGTAAGTAAAGAACCAGCAGTGTGCCTGGCGCCAGTGGGCATGACAGTTGCAGGGTGTTCCAAGGCAAATCACGACTGCCTCTACGAGGCAGGGCTCCTGCCTGAT